CTTATCCTAAGCCTATTAACATATTCCAGTCCATATGATTATTCTTGGATGGCCCACCAATAACCTAAGTGAAATTAGAGTTTCACATAAAATGACAATTAGGGTTAAGTATTTCTCACTTAACCCACTAAGGACTTAACCCATTAAGGATTTAATCCATTAAGCCCATCACTCTACTAGTTAAGTCATATGGTGTGATTGGGTTTGATTCATAATTCCATTCTAATGGCCCAAATGTGTGTCCCGATAAGTCCAAGCCCATAATTCCAAAATTAGGGTTTTTTAAACCCTAATTAGGGTTTTCATCCCCATTTGAACCCAATAGGCCCAATATCAAGTCCTTAGGTCAATTAGGGCTCATTAGGCCCGTTAGTCACATCTTTGGGCTTTTAGGTCCATTAAGCTTCACTGGACCCATTAGGGTTTTAGTCCTTTGTCCAAACATCCAACAAGCAATCCCAACACAACTAAGCACACCGCCACCAGACACGTCGGCCGGTAGCGGCAAGAGGTAGCAGCCACTACCCTACGGTGGTGGTTTTAGTTTACTTTTCATTAATCCATTTCTAATTACATTTTACAAGGCTAAATCTCAAGTAAACACACACCCACTAAAAAGATAAACACACACATGGCGGCAGCCACCACCTCACGGTGGTGACAGTGGCGGTTCTCGGTCTTCTAGCTACACCAAACACACATCCACACACTTCAGGCTGTAATATACACTCCAGCCACCCACCTGGTGGCTCAGGGCGGCGGTAGTGGCACCGAAAAACGGCAGCAGCGGCATTGATGGCGGAAACCGCCATCTGTGGCTGCCATGGTGGCTCTTAACGGGTTTCACTGGCCAAACGAGACTTCACAATCAAGCAGCAACCACAACCCACCCCCATGCTTGTGACCCATGAGCTAAAGCACACCAAAACAGCCTCTTCGGGTTGGCGGATGATGACTGGAACAGTGGGAGAAGAACCAAGCAACATCGGCGGTCGTGACTACATGAAGTACCGAAGATCCGAGAAGAAAGAATGAAGCGAGCAACAATAGCAATAGCGACAAAAGAGGGTGTTCGTTCCATCTTCGTCTTCTTCATGAAGGGGAGCAGCGACAACAGCCCCGGATCATTCCAGGCCTTGCATCAGCGGTCCACAACTCGTCCTCGGTGATCAACGATCCTTCTTCGTCTATTCATGACTTTTCTGGCAGTGAGATTATAGTGGCGGTGCTCGGACTCGACTAGGCAGCAGCCGGTGATGGGAGATACAAGGTTGGTGGCCGAAGGAGAAAGAGGGTTGAGAGGGTGGTGGCTATAAACACAATTAGGGTTAGGGTTACACGGTGGGTTATATACTTGATCACCAATCTAACTTATTACCATAACGGCATAACCAGTCCCTGCTCATAAAATTCTTTCCAACTATGATCCAAAATTTACCATTTGAACCCTGCATTATGAATCTTTTACAAATAAAGTCCGAATTTTTCCTTTTTAACCCCAGCCAACCAAAAACCGTTCATCTTAAGTCCTCATAATTACCATGCAGCCCCTCCTCTACAATTATTTTCAAATAAGATCCATAATTAACTCTTTAGCCCCTGTTTTCATAAATCCTTTCATATTAGGTCTAATACTTACCAAACATCCCCCTGTCTTCTGAAATATTTACACAATAAATCTCGAATTTATACTTTGACCCTCGAATAATCCAACTTATGGTGTTTGGCTTCACATAATCAATACCTTACTATATAGTTATAATTTTAGGGCTACGATTCGTTCAGTAATTTCATCTATTTATTTATGAAATAAATGGGGTGTTACACAATTTGAGCCTAGATCTGAAGTTGCAACTTCAGATCTTGGTTCATCACTTCGAAATATAGCACCAAATGCCCAAAATGGTCCCAAAACTAAAATATAGAAAGATCTAGCTAGAAGAAGATCAAGGTAATGACTTGATACCTTCAAATGATGATAAACTGAGGTAGACTTCAGATCTTCACACGTTCTTTGCCTCACACTCCCTGATCTTTAAGCTTCTAGCAACAACTCTTCCTTTCAAATCATGAAAAAAACACACTAAATGGGGCACACACACGAATTAGGGTCTCAGAGCTCAAGGGAGGCTGTAAAAGGGAGGCTAAGGGACAATGATCCTTTAAACAGGGTGAAAAACCCCAGAATTTAGGGTTTCATCCTCCAGCTCCTACTCGTCGAGTCCCTTCTTGGACTCGGTGAGTAGGTCACTTAAGCACGTGGGCTAACCCGCTGCTAGTCGACGAGTTTGGCAACCAACTCATCGAGTAGACCCTGAAATCATAAAAAGTCTTATACCAGAAATCCATACCTGAGAATCGGGGAGTTACAATTCTCCCTCACTTGAACTAGACTTCGCCCTCGAAGTCTGCTATAGTGAACAACTCCGGATAGTGCTCCCGCATCTCAGTCTCCGGCTCCCACGTCCATTCAGATCCCCTTCGATGCTCCCATTGTACCTTCACCAAAGGTATCTCCTTTTTCCGTAGAATCTTCACCTTCCTCTCTATTATGGCCACGAGCCTCACAACATAGTTCAGGAGCTCATCAAACTGAATGTCATCCAATGATAGCACCGCCTCCTGGTCTATAACACACTTTCGCAATTGCGAGACATGGAAAGTGTTGTGAATCCGACTAAGCTCCTCCAGAAGCTCTAGCCTATATGCCACCTTGCCAATCCTGGCAACGATCCTGAATGGCCCAATATATCAGGGACCCAATTTTACCCTCTTCCTAAAGCGGATCACACCCTTCCAGGACGAGAGCTTCATGAGTACCATATCACCGACCTGGAACTCTAACTTGGATCGGCGCCGGTCGGCGTAACTCTTCTAACAACTCTGAGCGGTCTGCAGTCGCCGCCTAATCTGCTGAATCGTCTACGTAGTCCGCAAGACTACCTCCGTCCGACCCATCACCCTTTGTCCGACCTCATCCCAACAAACTGGGTTGCGACATCTCTACCCATACAACAACTCAAAAGGCGGGGCGCGGATGAAATGTTGTGCAGCCGTACACTGTTCTCATTTGAAACTGCTCCAACCGCACATGACAACCTCCTTTAAATACTACCCTCACCAGCACACAGGTGTGCAGCCGTACACGCATGTGTGGCCGCACACACTTGTGTAGCTGCACACACACACCAAGTCTATACCATGACACCACTACACTACATACACTGCCACCCTAACAAGATCTATACAGGAATAATGCCTAGCTCAAACCACAATATTATAGTCTTTCAATCTCCCCCTTGGTTTGAGGCTAGCATAGTTTTGATCTTCATTCTGTTGGCATCTCAAACAGCTTAAAATCTGATCTTCCCATGGAGCCCATCCACATTCTTCCATTTATGATAGTGGCGACCATTCCAGTGAACTCTTTGGCAGCTACACATCTATTACTGATTTGGATCTATATTTGGCACTGCTATTGATCCCACATCAAAAAAGGCTAAACAATTTACAGGATTAAAATTAAATTTAATTTTTGTTATTTTTAGTATTTCCATTTTATTTTATTTTATTTTATTTTTATTTTTATTTTTATTTTTATTTTTATTTTTATTTTTATCTTTATTTTTAGTTTAAGTTTTATTTTGATTTATGATTAAAATTTTTAGGAATAATAAATTTTAATATTTTTAATCCTCAAAATGGATTATTTTTGAAAAGTTTGAGTTTGGGATTAGTTTTTGATTATTAAAGAGTTGAGGGGGGAGGAAATGCAATTTTTTGAGAGTATATATAACGTGTGCGGTTTGTAGATCACCGCCATGTTCTCATTTGAAACTGCTCCAACCGCACACGGCTTACACACACACACACACACACACACACACACACACTCTCTCTCTCTCTCTCTCTCTCTCTCTCTCTAAAATCCTAAAATTTCATCAATCTTCTTGGAATCAAAGCTCCATACTGGTAATTCTTGTAAAAGAGACTTCCATAACACATTTTTATGCAAAATCGATCAATATTTGGTGTTTAATCGAAGGATCATGTGTTTCGACTGTGAGTGCGGCCGTACATGGCGTGTGCGGCTGAACCGTGTGCGGCAACACATATCTGTGTATGGCTGGACCGTGTGCGGCTGCATATGCATATTTTGTGTGCGACTGCACACATCCACGTGTGCGGCTGTGTGCATTCTCATGTGCGGTTGCACACTTCTTCATGATCAATCATGAGCAGTTGAAATACATATGGTTAAAATTATTTTTGCCCTAATGATTGCATGTGTTTCTTTTCAGATTAAAATGGGAGATCTAGAGTTTGCTAAAGTTCACAACTTAGTTATTTTTCTTGAAGATCCTCCAGCAGCTCACAATGATCTAAAGTTCATTGTTAACAGTCTAAAGAAATGTTGTTTGGTCCATGCATTGACAACCAGCCCTGCAATTTATCAGAACCTGATCAAAGATTTCTGGAGATGTGCAGTCGTGAAGAATGATAACAAAGATGAAAAGTACATTAAAGCCACAATCCAAGGAAAGAAGGTTCAAGTTTCAGAGAGTATTATTCGGGAATCACACCAAATTGATGACAAATCAGAATACTCTATGGAAACTAATGTGCATCAAACTCAGGATGTTCTAGACCATATGGGGTATGAGGGAACATTTCCTCCTACCATCAAGAAACCGCTTCCTCCCTGCTGGAAATATCTAGCTCATGTGTTTGTGAGCTGTATTTCTGGTAAGAGATCTGGTGCGAACGAAATCTCCTTGGCCAACACAGGAGTCATCACAGCTTTGGCCTTGGGAATTGAATTTAACTTTTCAAAGTTTATACTGCACAAACTGGTTCTGAATCTTGAAGGGAACAAGAGAGATAAGTTTTTGATGTACCCAAGATTTCTTCAGATCATCTTCAACGTCATGCATCCTGAGCTGTAGAAAGGGAAAGAGACTTTGGATCTTAAATTAGTTGGTCCTAGTGCATTTGGTTTAATGAAGCAGAAAAGAGGAGGAAAATTTGTTTTTGAAGGGAAGTTCCCCTTAATTAAATTTGGAATTTTTGAAGAAAGTGAGCAGTCAGACTCAGAAGATCAATCCATTCCTACAGAGACTGAAGACGTTGTGTTTTCAACTTCTAAACCAGAAATTGAGGAGGTTCATATTTCTCCTACAGCTACAGTGGCTAAGGAACATGATCGTCTACATCATAAGGAAGATGAAACACAATCTCTTCACGAGGAATTTGATGAAGATCTCTATGAAGATGTATAATTTTTGAAAGATATAGACTTCACTGGGATCAGTGATGATATCCATACAAATATTGAGCTTGATCTTGACGATGAAGATTTTGGTCATCTTCCAGAATTTGCCAGCAGCTGTTTTAATAAAGTCAATGAAGTTGCTCCTTCGGCAACCAAGACTGGGGAAGAAAGTAATGTTCTCAAAATTTTGCTCTCCACATCCAAGCCCATGGAGATCCCTTCAAGTCAAGGAGATGTGAATTCAGAGATTCCTCCCTCTGTTTCAACTATCTCAAATTTTGCTCAGCTTGTTTCTGAATCATCTCAGCCCCAAACCTCCCAGTCCTCCTTGGAAAGAAGTCAATCAAATACGAGTCTGGAGGTACCCATTGTGAACAGTGCACCTCAAGTCTTGTCAACTGTCACCGCTACTACTGTTTTCACTCCACCAATACCATCTGATGAAGGCCCTAGCACAATGTTTGAGACAGGCGCCTCATCCTCTATCCCAGAATATTCTCCTACCAGACCTTCAATAGATGAAGCTTCAATCAGACTGGCAAAGCACTTGACTCAACACAGTCCAACCTCTTCTTCTCGTGGCAAAGGAATATCTTTCAGAGAAGAGCACTTAGGTGATGACAAATATTCTGTGTCAGAACATCGAGAAGAGATTGGTGTTCTCTGACAGGAACTTATTGAGAAGACCATTCAGATGGATCAACTCACTTCTCACATTGAAGTGCTTAAAGAAAAAGATGAAGAGAAGTCAAAGCAGATTAAGGATCTACAGACGAATCTTGGGTCTGTGACGGCTATCTACTTCAATTTAAAGAACGTTCTGTATGATGCTTTTGGAGATAAAGTCAAAGCCTTATTTCAGCAGCCACATGGAATCGAGGATCCTCCCACGGCCCCCTCTACTTCCGACGACCTTCTAGTTGATCCACCTGCTCCTAGAACAACTACAATTGTCAATAGATTTGAAAAGGAACCAAAAGGCTGCAGTGCCCGAATCACAATCAAACAGGGAAAGAGGACTGTAACGGCTAACAAATGCGAAGGGTTACTATTCATGAAAAATTCAAACAAGAATCGCAAAGCCAAAGACCCTATACTAACAGTGACTGATCTCAAGAAAAGAAAATTTGGCGATGAGTTCGGAGATAGATCAGGAATTCGAATGTGGGCCTTTGATCCCGAGTCAAATTTATGGGTTGTGAAAAGGAACTCAGGAACCTCTGAGTTCTACAAGAACACTCATGACTTTAACTCGTGGACCAAAGTTGATCTTGCTGAACTATCGAGAGCCCCATTCCATAATCCCTCTGAAGATCGCAGTGCTTCAAACTTCAAAAGATTTCTTGACAGACATGTCAATGAAAACTTTCCAAAAATGAAGACTGCAAGAGCTTTATACCAAAAAGACAAAGAAATTCTAGATCCTGAGTCAGGCGAGCCTATGAAGATTATCCTTTGGACTGCGACTAAACATTAGAAGGAAATTCCCATCCCTCAACACTTCCATGAGGGATATCTTGATAACATGGATTTTTGGGCTTACGACGATGAAACTGCCATTGCTGTAATAAAGTTCAAGGATAGAGAACAAGTCTTGAGGCTGATAAGTGCTAAAGATCTTCTTAGATTCAGGGAAAAGGATATCCGCACTCTGTCTCATCACCAGATTATATGCAGAAAAGATGTTATGGAGGCGGCTGCCAAAGAGTTCACTTGAATGGTCGCCACTATCATAAATGGAAGAATGTGGATGGGCTCCATGGGAAGATCAGATTTGAAGCTGTTTGAGAAGCCAACAGAATGAAGATCAAAACTATGCTAGCCTCAAACCAAGGGGGAGATTGAAAGACTATAATATTATGGTTTGAGTTAGGCATTATTCCTGTATAGATCTTGTTAGGGTGGTAGTGTATGTAGTGTAGTGGTATCATGGTATAGACTTGGTGTGTGTGTGCAGCTACACACGTGTGTGCGCCCGAGCATGTCTATATTAGCCCAAAACTCGATCAAAAACTCGAGAGCCCCATTCCATAATCCCTCTAAAGATCCCAGTGCTTCAAACTTCAAAAGATTTCTTGACAAACAGGTCAAGAAAAACTTTCCAAAAATGAAGACTGCAAGAGCTTTATACCGAAAAGACAAAGAAATTCTAGATCCTGAGTCAGGCGAGTTTACAATATTGTGGTTTGAAACTAATATATGTATTTTTAATGTTATTTCTCTTCTACACGCTTTGAAAATTAAGTGTGGAAAAACAAATATTAGTTTCAAAAATTACACTGCGTCAAGTAAGACAGTCGAGTCCTTATTTGAAAACCAATTAAAATTCATAGATAATCAAAACAAGGGTTTAGGTTATGATTGTGTTCCTCTACCTTTCAATCTTAATTACACTGCTATTCCCTTGTCTCAAGAAGAAATTGACAAAGAACCTCACATGGTATATGGAAAGTCAGCTTCTGAGCAGGCAATACAGTCTAATAATAAGATTCTGCATACTAACATGTCTACCTTAAGTGCAGATATGTCAGTAGTTCAGGGGGAGCATGAAGCTGAAAAGTTTGAGTCAAATAATCCTGTGTCTAAGTTTGGTGTTGATTTCTATGATGAGTCTGTGTCAAAATCAAACACTAATGTTTTTGTGTCTGGTGGTGTATTATTTCAGACTGATAATTTTATTAATGATGGTGTTGTTTCTGATAAAATTACTAAATCTGATTTGAAGGTTTCTACACCTTCCACATCTGCTTCAAAATCCTGTGATGGTTCTTGCAAGTGTGGAAGTGTTAAAAATGAAAAAGAAAAGAATAAATCTGTCAATAGCAATGTCAAAACCATTGATAATAAATAAATATGTTTCAACTGTGGCACTGCTGGACACATTGCAAGAAACTGTATGAACCGGATGTTTGTTTCTCACACATCAAAAAGAGGAGAGAATGAATTTCGGGGACGATCTTTTACTTGAAAATCCCCCAGAACTCGTTCTCGAAATGGTGACTTGAATACAAATCCAAACAAGAAAATGGCAAATTCTCAAAAGAATAAAAAGGTTTTTTATAAAGTCAACAACAGTTTGCCAAAATCAACTTAGGCTAAGCCTAAGTCGATTTTTCAAAGAGCAGGACTGAATCTTCAAACTCTTCGAGTAGAAAATCCAACGGCTCGAAGCAAACTAACAAAATTTCAAAACCTAACTTTCAGTGGATACCAAAATTGACTTCAGATCAGTCACCATTTACCTCTAAATCAAATGAAAAGAAAGAATCAAATGAAAAATCTCTGAAAGGAAAGGTTCAACCCAGGATTGTGCAGAGACAATAGCGGAGGAATGTCGTCAGACCCTGATATATCGACAGCGGCTGCTCCCAGCACATGACTGGAGATATATCCCAATTGCACGACTGTCAGACATTTAATGGAGGATATGTATCTTTTGCGGGCGGAGAGGGCGGAAAGATAACTAAAAAGGGAACTATTTCAAATGGAGTGCTGAATTTTGAGAATGTTAACTATGCTCCTGAATTAAAACACAGCTTGTTGAGCGTTTCCCAGATCTGCGACAAGGATTACTCCACTCATGTCACAGATAAAGAATGTCTAATCTTAAATCCAGGCGTTGTCATTCAGGAAGATTGGATTCTTGTAAAATCTAAGCGGGATGGGAATGCTTACATTCTATACATGAACAAAAATATCCCCGACGAAGTCACTTGCCTTTTCTTCAAAGCTTCTAAACAAAATGCGATGTTGTGGCATCGTCGTCTCGGTCACGCTAATGCAAAGAACCTGAATCGGCTTGCAAAGAACGAACTGGTCCGAGGATTACCTGTCAGAGATTTCATTACATTTGAAAAATGTGTTTCCTGTGCTCAAGGAAAACATCATCGGAAACCTCACTTTCCAAAGCAGATTAACTCCATTAGTCAAGTGCTCGAGTTGTTACATATGGATTTATTTGGTCCGGTTAACGTTCTCAGCATCAATCGCAACTCATACTGCCTCGTTGTGATAGACGATTACTCTCGGTTCACTTGGGTTTCTTTCTGTCCAACAAAGCTGGGATCACTGACCTCATCAAAAGGTTCATTGTGATGATTGAGAATCAGACCAATAATCGAGTGAAAGCGCTGCGTACTGATAATGGAACAGAGTTCAAGAACGCCATTCTTGACCATTTTTGCGCTGAGAAAGGGATTGTGCGTCAGTTCAGTTTTGTTCGAACACCTTAACAAAACGGGGGTGGCAGAACGCATGAATCGAACTCTTAATGACACCACAAGGACGATGCTCTGTGACTCCAAACTTCCTGTGTTCTTTTGGGCAGAGGCGATTAACACGACGTGTTACATTCAGAATCGCGTGCTGATCAACAATGCCAGAATGAAGACACCGTACGAAATTCTATATGGACACAAGCCATCTGTCATCCATTTCCGAGTGTTTGGCTGCCCTTGAACCCTTCTCCACTTGGAATCCAACCCCCAAATTCAATGCAAAAGCCGATGACTATTACTTTGTTGGATATGCTGCTCGAACTGCTTACATGGTTTATAACAAGAAGACAAAACAGATTGTGGAGTCTTTCGATGTTCGTTGGCTTGAAGAAAATGAGACAAATGCTAGAGTGGGTCCCGATTGGCTATTTGATTGCACATCTCTTTTCATATCATTCAATGTGTCGTTAGATAATCAAGCAGTATCTACGTCAAATTCGAAGATCATTATTGAAGATGAAGAGGACGAAGTTGTCTACCGACCACCACCGGTTTCTTCTGGTCCTCCAATGGTGCCCTCTGTTCACATTGATTCTTCTGAGTCATCTCCTCAAAAACCTTCTCCTGATGTTGCTGCTACTCCTCTACCTCCGGTGGAAAGAAAGTTCATGAATCAAGAGACTTCCGCTGTAACTTCAAATTTGATGGAACTTCTCTTTCCAGAAAGCATTGTTGAAGAGTTTGTAGCAGATCCTCCAAACGAACCTTGTTCATCTACTGTGGATCATACAACAAATGATGGAGCAGTTAACATCCATAATCTTCCAGTCTCTGTCAATGATATCAGCTACGAAATCCCTGCATGCATTCAACGCGACCATCCAATAGAGAACGTCATTGGCCAGCTGGGCGACGGTGTTCAAACGCGAAGTCAGAGTGGAGATGTTAATCCGTGTCTCTACTCTTGCTTCGTTTCTCAGATAGAGCCCAAAACTGTCGAAATGGCTCTGAATGAGCCCAGCTGTGTTGACGCCATGCATGATGAACTAAATCAGTTCGAGAAGCTCAGGGTTTGGAAGTTGGTGGAGCTTCCAAAAGGAAAGAAATCTCTCGACACCAAATGGGTCTTTTGGAACAAGCAAGATGACTCATGCGTAATTGTGCGTAACAAGGCGAGATTAGTGGTTCGCGGGTTTCGGCAAGTTGAGGGTCTTGATTGTACGGAGGTTTATGCTCTGGTAGCGCGCTTGGAAGCCATTCGTATCTTCCTTGCATATGCTTCCTATATGAACTTCACCGTATACCAAATGGACGTCAAGACGGCTTTCTTGTACGACAAGGTCAAGAAGGATATTTATCTTCACCAACCACCCTGTTTCGTTAATTCAAAGCTTCCCAACCATGTCTACAAGCTAGACAAAGCTCTGTATGTGCTGCATCAAGCTCCTAG